GTTACGTATTAAAACTGACATATCGAGCAAATTCCAAGTCGTCGATGGTGGTCAGTTAACGCATTTCCTGGGAATGGAGATTCAGCGGGAAGGTGAACTTGGCAAAGTTAGTTTAGGCCAAACGCAGTACATCTTAAAATTACTTAAAGACTACAACATGGAAGACTCCAGGGACGTCGTAACACCGCTAGATGCAGGGTTAAGTGTACATTGCAGTAGTGAGCAATGCAAGAAGGTTGATAAAGTGGCGTACCAATCCGTCGTAGGTGCGTTAATGTACTTGGCAATATCAACACGTCCCGATATCCTACACTCAGTGAGTAAGTTATCACAGCGCAACAACAATCCGCATTCAGAACACGAAGCCGGAGTCAAACATGTACTACGCTATTTGAGAAAGACATCTAATTACAAACTGCATTACACCAAAACTGGCAAGGCTATTGAGGGCTTTGCAGATGCTGACTGGGGCAGTGACGCCAGCGATCGTAAGTCGTACTCGGGCTGTGTTTTTGTAGCAGCAGGTGGCGTATTCTCTTGGGAGTCCAAGAAACAAAGCGTCGTGGCGTTAAGCAGCACTGAGGCTGAATATATCGCGCTATCTTCAGCAGCGAAGGAGGCATCCTACATCAGCAAGCTTCTGCGAGAAATGGGGTTCGGTCAAGATGGTCCTATGATTTTGAACAATGACAACTTGAGTTCACAATGCTTAGTGAAGAATCCAACTTATCACGCACGCAGTAAGCATATCGACATCAAGTATCACCATATCCGTCAAATGTATAATAATAATGAAATTGATTTAAACTATATACCAACCGATAAAATGATGTCAGATATATTAACTAAAAATTTACAAAAAACAAAACATGTAAAATTTACCAATGAGATGGGTATATTTTAAAATATTAATGTAAAGTGTTGAGAAGGAGTGTTGGAAATATATGAAATGTGGCAACACTCTCCATCACTAGTTTATTCTTTCCATCTCTTCGTTACTTTTTCCTTCTTGTTCTCTTGTACGCATAGCTCGTAAGCAATTCGTTTGTTAAATGTCAGTCTGTCTATTCTAACTATTCAAATAAAGCAAACCAAACAGGTTATGGGCCAAGCGCTTTACTGTGTGTCGGTATTTCTTTGAAAACTTTGCGTTATTGAACTTTTGCATACTGTGTGTCAGTAGGAAAACTAATAGAATACGACTTTTTGCTAAGGTCCTGTGTGTCAGTGCATTAAAAAAAACAAAAACATTAAAATGAGTGCTTTGTTTCAAATTGATAAATTGGACGATTCCAATTACGCGTCGTGGTCGGTCCAGATGCGAAGCGTGTTAATACACTCCGATTTGTGGGGAGTCGTGTGCGGCCGAGAGGTGAAAGCAGACGATATGTCTAGCGTGGAAAAAGCGGCTTATGAAACGAAAAACGAAAAAGCGTTGGCGTCAATGTTACTTTGCGTGAAACCGTCGCAAATCAATCACGTAAAAAATTTACCAAGTGCAATGGTAGCGTGGAACAAACTCCGCGAAATCCATCAGCCAAAAGGGCCAGCGAGAAAAATTTTACTGTTTAAACAACTTTTACACCTCAATATGTCTGAGGGAGCTAGTGTTTCAAATCATTTAAATGAGTTTTGTCGCATCCAGGAGGGGTTAGCGGCAATAGACGTTGAGATTACGGACGAAATGTTAGTAATAATTTTGCTTTCAAGTTTGCCGCCACAGTATGAAAATTTTGTGGTTGCGATGGAGACAAGGGATGCATTGCCTTCGTTTAACACTTTAAAAGTTAAGTTATTAGAAGAGGGTGCGCGGCAGTGTGTTAGCGAAGAAAAACATGAAAAAGGTACAGAAGTGTTAATGCAAGCCCGAGCAAACGCGTCTGGAAATTTCCAGAAAGCAAGCAAGAACAGTGTAGGCGTTGCTAATAGTTCTGGGAACTACAGCAACAAAAACAATAAGAACAACAGAAGTGGCAAGTGTTTTAATTGTGGTCGTCGTGGACATTTCGCGGCGTCATGCAGAGAGCCGAAAAAGAATGAGTGCAAAAAAGAAAGCAATAATGTCGAACGGTCATGCTTTATGATGAGTGCGAAAACATCACTACACGTATTAATTGCGAAGCAGACTTGGTGCGTTGACAGCGGTGCAACTTCGCATATCTGCTGCGACCGCAGTTTGTTCAGTAATTTTCAAAAATGCAGTGAAAAGATTTGGCTAGCAGGCAACCAGTGTATTGAAGCCGCAGGTCGCGGTGACGTCAACGTCGGCGGTACAGCAATTACGCTGAAAAAACGTTTTGTATGCTCCAGCTTTACAGGGTAATTTTGTTTCGGTGAGCAAAGCAATCGAGAACGGGCATACAGTGACATTTAAGAGTGACTTTGTAGAAATTAAAAACAGCAAAAACTGTGTAGTGTTGAAAGCGTTCAGCAATAGTGGATTGTTTTTATACGAGGATCGACACAACAAGTGTTTCACTAGGGTAGTACAAAAAGATGCCGTATTTAATGCATTCAGGTGGCACAACCGATATGGACACGTTAATTTTAATTGTTTGAATGAAATGATGAATAAGCAATCCGTACTAGGACTGAAGCTCGGTAAAGTACCAAGTGAAATAGTGTGTGATACTTGCGCAAAAACCAAGATATCTGTCAAGCCGTTTGCGCAAGCATCAGCAACTCGTGCCAAGGATTTACTGGAAATTGTCCATAGTGATGTTTGTGGGCCAATTAATTGCGCGTCAATTGGTGGTTCGAGGTATTTCGCTACCTTCATTGACGATAAATCGAGATACATGTGTGTGTATTTTTTAAAGACAAAAGATAGAGTGTTTGAGGCATTTAAAGACTATAAATCAATGGCTGAAAAGCAAACCGGGTGCAAACTTAAGAACTTAAGAAGCGACAACGGGCGTGAATATATTTCAAATGCGTTCGATTCGTTTTTAAAACAGCACGGTATAAAACGACAATTGACCATACCATACACTCCTCAGCAGAACGGTGTAGCAGAACGTGCTAACCGTACGTTGGTCGAGATGGCTAGGGCCATGTTGCAGTATGCACATCTGGGTGAGCATTTTTGGGCGGAGGCGGTACGAACCGCAGCTTATCTTCGAAATCGTACAGTGACAAAAATACTGGTAGATAAAACGCCACATGAGTTGTGGAGCGGTACAAAACCAAATGTGTCACATCTTAAGGTCTTTGGTTCGAAGGCAGTAGCCCTCGATAAAAAGCATTCGCAAAAGTTTCGCCCGAAAGGCAAAGAATACACTATGATTGGGTATTCAGAAGTTAGCAAAGGCTACCGTTTGTTTGATAAACACAGCCGAAAGGTCATAATCAGCCGTGACGTAGTGTTCATTGAAAATGCTCATGTTGGTGAAGAGCCAGAACCGAGGTTAGTAGAGTTTGGCGAAGCACAGTCAGACGTGGTGTTGGTTGCAGACCCTATGCAAGTGCGGCAAAATAATGAGAGTGTGGAGACAGGAGACATGGCAGAAATTTCCACCGAAGCAGTAGAATCAACGAATACTGAAGACGACAGTTACGAAGAGCAGAGTGCAGCTGTGATTGGTCCAGGTAGGCCAAGATTGTTGCGTACAGGTGCAAGAGGTCGTCCGCGTAAACTATACAATCAATTAAACGTAATGAATGAAGATTTAGCAGTGGCTCCCAACAGTGTAAAGGAGGCGTTAGACAGTCATTATGTTGACGAGTGGAAAGCTGCGATGGAGAAGGAGTACGCATCCCTCGTAAAAAATGACACATGGGTACTTGTCGAATTACCACCAGGTCAGAAAGTTGTCGGATGCAAGTGGGTGTACACAATTAAACGCGACCAGCATGGCGAGGTTAAGCAATTTAAGGCACGTTTGGTAGCTAAAGGTTGCAGCCAGCGGTACGGGGTGAACTACTTCGAAACATTTTCGCCAGTGGTTAGGTATGCAAATATCCGAATGGTGATTGCATTGGCAGTGGAGCACAATCTGTATCTACACCAAATGGATGTGTCTTCCGCATACCTCAACAGCGATCTACACGACGATGTTTACATGCAGCAACCAGAGTGCTTTATCGACAGCAAGTATCCCGAGCGAGTATTGAAACTGAAGAAGTCTCTTTATGGTTTAAAGCAGAGCGGTCGGGAGTGGAACAGCAAATTGAATTTGGTTCTTCAAGAAATGGGGTTCAAACCATGCCCCAGCGAACCATGTATATACACTAAAAATTCTGCAGATTTGGTCAACATAATTGCCGTATACGTAGACGATCTCATCATCGCATGTTCATGTAAGTCTGAACAGTTACGTATTAAAACTGACATATCGAGCAAATTCCAAGTCGTCGATGGTGGTCAGTTAACGCATTTCCTGGGAATGGAGATTCAGCGGGAAGGTGAACTTGGCAAAGTTAGTTTAGGCCAAACGCAGTACATCTTAAAATTACTTAAAGACTACAACATGGAAGACTCCAGGGACGTCGTAACACCGCTAGATGCAGGGTTAAGTGTACATTGCAGTAGTGAGCAATGCAAGAAGGTTGATAAAGTGGCGTACCAATCCGTCGTAGGTGCGTTAATGTACTTGGCAATATCAACACGTCCCGATATCCTACACTCAGTGAGTAAGTTATCACAGCGCAACAACAATCCGCATTCAGAACACGAAGCCGGAGTCAAACATGTACTACGCTATTTGAGAAAGACATCTAATTACAAACTGCATTACACCAAAACTGGCAAGGCTATTGAGGGCTTTGCAGATGCTGACTGGGGCAGTGACGCCAGCGATCGTAAGTCGTACTCGGGCTGTGTTTTTGTAGCAGCAGGTGGCGTATTCTCTTGGGAGTCCAAGAAACAAAGCGTCGTGGCGTTAAGCAGCACTGAGGCTGAATATATCGCGCTATCTTCAGCAGCGAAGGAGGCATCCTACATCAGCAAGCTTCTGCGAGAAATGGGGTTCGGTCAAGATGGTCCTATGATTTTGAACAATGACAACTTGAGTTCACAATGCTTAGTGAAGAATCCAACTTATCACGCACGCAGTAAGCATATCGACATCAAGTATCACCATATCCGTCAAATGTATAATAATAATGAAATTGATTTAAACTATATACCAACCGATAAAATGATGTCAGATATATTAACTAAAAATTTACAAAAAACAAAACATGTAAAATTTACCAATGAGATGGGTATATTTTAAAATATTAATGTAAAGTGTTGAGAAGGAGTGTTGGAAATATATGAAATGTGGCAACACTCTCCATCACTAGTTTATTCTTTCCATCTCTTCGTTACTTTTTCCTTCTTGTTCTCTTGTACGCATAGCTCGTAAGCAATTCGTTTGTTAAATGTCAGTCTGTCTATTCTAACTATTCAAATAAAGCAAACCAAACAGGTTATGGGCCAAGCGCTTTACTGTGTGTCGGTATTTCTTTGAAAACTTTGCGTTATTGAACTTTTGCATACTGTGTGTCAGTAGGAAAACTAATAGAATACGACTTTTTGCTAAGGTCCTGTGTGTCAGTGCATTAAAAAAAACAAAAACATTAAAATGAGTGCTTTGTTTCAAATTGATAAATTGGACGATTCCAATTACGCGTCGTGGTCGGTCCAGATGCGAAGCGTGTTAATACACTCCGATTTGTGGGGAGTCGTGTGCGGCCGAGAGGTGAAAGCAGACGATATGTCTAGCGTGGAAAAAGCGGCTTATGAAACGAAAAACGAAAAAGCGTTGGCGTCAATGTTACTTTGCGTGAAACCGTCGCAAATCAATCACGTAAAAAATTTACCAAGTGCAATGGTAGCGTGGAACAAACTCCGCGAAATCCATCAGCCAAAAGGGCCAGCGAGAAAAATTTTACTGTTTAAACAACTTTTACACCTCAATA